TTAGTACCTGTACCAGTAAAAGCCTCATTTCCTCTTTGCCAATCCATTTTCCTTAAAGTTTAATATGTGATCAACTCACCTCTATGGTCCCACATTTCTTCTATAAGTTTATCCCCCTCTCTAATACTGTATTATTTCTTTGATATTATTCCAATGTTGCTCTATTTCTTGTTCTTCAAGTCCTTCATTTAACATTACAGTACTGGACTAAAAATCTGTTTTGTGTCTCAATTTCATATTATATTCTTACCTCTGTTTAGAGCTTCCCCAATTCCCATTTGATTTCATTCATTATTTATTTCTTTAATTTCTGAAGTTTTAGACTCGCTAAACTCATTATTAGAATATTGTCCAACTCACAGTCAGCCCTTGGGTAGGTCTCAGCTACTGTTACGAAGTTCCTGAATCATTTATGAATTAAAATGCAATCTACTTGATCCCTGGCAATATTATTTGCATTATCCTGGGGTGAATTTCACATATAAAAATGCTTAGGGTGATATTGAAACCATGTGCAGTACTGTACAGTACATCAATTGTTATGTTGCTATCCTAACTAAAATCAATTAATCTTTCTCCTCTTTCATTTTTACCCAGCTCATGTGGTTATCTGTTAGGAAATGTTACCATGTTATGTTATGCTATCATGTTAAAAAGTTTAGTTATCATGTTATGTTATGCTATCATGTTAAAAAAATGTATAGTTTTCAGGTCAAGTTACTTGACTGACTGTACTCTATTTGGTGAGGTTATCATTTAGGTCCATCCATAACCGTGTCACATAAGATTACGAGATATACACGATCACCCTCTCCCTCTTGTCCTTATTTACGTGGGCTATTTCCTAGTGAACAAAATCCTATCACCCCCAAAAAATCTATCCATAAGGTAATATCTCACTGCAAAAATAAATTTGGAAAACAATCACACTGCATCAATTCTATCATCAAAACAAGGAAGTGGACCAAATCTTATTGGAAAAAATCCCATCACACGATTTCCAAGTAGAAAAAATCCCAAAAGCTAGAGTTTCTTCATAAGTGACATGATTAACAAAAGACAGCCACTGTACGGACAAAATTCCTTTCCATCCTTCCATTTTGTCAGCATACAATAATTCCTAAAACCCTCACAATGAACCTATTTTTACTGTTCCTCACTTTCACAGAGCCTTCATACAATGTCAAAATCACTTATACAAGACACTCCTAAATCACTAACTTCCTCGTTGCTCACTACACCATCTCATAGGTATTCTGCTAAATGCTTTCTACAAATTTACAAACAACAGCTTTTCTCCTTCCCTAGACATACTTCTTGTAGTTGCTTAGTCATAAATATTACCTCTGTAGACCCCCCTGCCTGGCATGAACCCAAACTTCCTTTCAATACAGTAGTCTCCACTCTCTCCCTTCATCAATTTCTGGGTCACTTTTTCCACAACTGTCATAAACTTATCTCACAGCTTCACGAGACTTTTGTTATGGTCACTACCACAGATAAAAAAATTAATAGGATTACGTACCTTTATATTAAAAACAGGTTTCCTCAATAAGATCTATGAACTGCTTGAAAGGTTGAATGTGATCACCAAAGTTCTAACAGTGATTGTGGTAACACTCTTTGCAGCAGAGTGTTCACCAGTCTCAGGCCTTTATATAATACACACAACTAATTCCATTGGTACCAAGCTGGTCAACCTTATAACCTGACCATCACCTGAAAAATGAATCCAGATATTCCTGTTATAAAATTAGTTGCAAACCATCAACAAGTCAAATATTCTTAGAAATGTTCTTGTTCCCTTGAAGATCCAATCCTAGTCATATACTGTACCTTACATATATACAGTCAAGTGTCCTACTCTACTTTAATCAGAGCATTTTAAGTAACTGACCAAAAGGTTCTCATACAACACGCAGAAGACCGAATAAAAAAATAAATAAAAGAGGATAATGAAAAGCCACACTTTTAAATGTCTTCTTTCAGAATTCCCTGTAATCAACGGTAGTGTATACTAGTGGTCTGTAATATAATTTTAACATTCATTCAACAGTGATATAGACAAGGATAGAGGATGTTTATGAATTCTAAAAAGATAGCAAAGTAACAATATTAAATGTTAAATAATTTTTTCAAGGGTCAACCATTCATAATGTACAAATTTTAGAGGATGTTATAAAGAGCGGTTTTTGTATTCAAACAAGAATTTTGCATCCACAGCCTTCTTAAAACACATCCATCAACAAAAAACTCAACAAATTCAATTGACAAAGACCCAATGATATGTTCAAAACATTTACTTTACAAAATATTTCTGTATTGTTTCTGGATTTCAATGTCTGTATCAAATATGTGATGCTACTCTATGCTTCTTGTTTACTATGAATCATTATTAATCGAGGCCCAAGTGTAAAAATGGGAACAAACTGATTAAACAGACCCTCCTGGAAATAAGCACCTGACAGCTTTGTCAGCTATCTTTGGTCAAATTGCCTTACTACCTACCATTGTTGTTTACCTGCACTGTCTAGGCATATGAGAAACTGTATACGTACTACTGTACTCCCATGGCCTACATGCACCATTTATCTACATTGTTTATATTCATGCTGAACTGTATAACTTTAATTTTGGTTTTTACTTTTATTCTCTTCGCCATTAATAGACTCATTAGCCGTTTGCATAGTTTATACAGGAGGTCCCCGACTTACGAACGCCCGCCGATACGAATGGGGTTAAACTTGAAATTTACATTATTTTATTTACCTGATGACTTATTTTTTACTTTCATTTATTGTATTTTGTCGTTCTATTTCTTCTTTTGTCTAAAATTAAGTGATTTTAGATGTATATAAGGACTTAGGCTATGATATAGTGGGAATATAAACATTGTTTTGTAAGTACAGTATGCATAAAGCACGTGTTCCGACTTACGTACAAATCCAACTTACAAACGTCCTCAGGAATGGATCCCGTTCGTAACCCGGGGACCCCCCCTGTAATCATTTCTATCCAAAAGTAAACCTTTATGACAATTTTACTGAATAAATATTATTATTATGAGTAATTATTAATGGTAAGATCATGAGTCATGAAATAGCTTTGAATACATGATGTAGATATATATATATTTTTTTCACATGCAATATCATATTTGAGACTAGTGTGGAGTACTGGTAGTCAGTACAAGGTGTATACTGACAGTTTTGTGAGTGAGACATGCTGACACAATTTTCTAAGTGAAGTACAGTACAGTATTTCCCCGCTTTACGCGGTTTCACTTTCCGCGATTTCTCATTTACGCGGTGCCTCGCCAGAACCGAACTTTCACTTTCTGCGGTGCATATACTCATATACGCGGGAAGCGGCGCGGGCAGGATGCGCACAAGGTCGCCCAGTCATCAAAACATTACCGAGTTCTTCACCCGCCACAACAGGCCTAAGTCAGTGATAGTGATAGTGAGGATTTGGACTTATATGGACTTTGAGGGGTTTGACAAAGAGGCCCTGCAAGCCTATGTGGTGGATAGTGATACAATTGATACAAGTGATACAGGTGAGGGCCAATAATCTGCCCTCTGCCTCGGAACCAACCCCCCATCCCTGTGTGCCCAGCCATCTTTTCTACTAATGTAAGTGTTAAGAAAACTAATATTGATATTTCTCTTAATTATTAATTGTGAGTGCATACCATCATAAAATTAAGATGTAATTTTTACTACAACGTAGGTATTGTGTCTGAAAAAGTGGAGTTTGGGGGTCGGGCCAGTCTCTATTGGAATTAATCCCATATGTTCTGTTGTTCACTTTACGCGGTTTTCACTTTCCGCGGTACCCTGTGGGTTCAATTGACCGCGTAAATCGGGGTACTACTGTATATTGACACAGTTTTACTAGTGAAGTACTGTATTTGGACAGTTTTCTAAGTGCAATACAGTATATTGTACTAAAATAGTTGTTTAGGTGATGTATCTAAAATATAGCGAACTCCTAAACCTTATCAAAACTACATTATCTTATACTATTTCTGTTAGGCTGGACAGAGGTTATTTACTGTGGATATTAGGATTCAGTGATTTGGGGTAATACATATTGTGTTTTTATGACAGATGAGCAGAGGCACTTACTATAATATGATAATTTACCATACAGACATTCTGAAACTCTAGCTGTAATCTGAGGAACATTATATAATGTACAGGTACTGGTACCGGTATCTTTATCATATGGACTGCCCATGTAATTTCTGTAATCATGCTAAAAATGTTACAGTACACAAATTTGTACAATATACCCGATTGGGATGATTGGAAGGTGTTATACCCACTGTGTCAAAAAAGGTACAGCTAGGATAAATACACTAAAAGATGGAAGAGTTTACCGGGGTTATGAAATTTCAGTTATAAATCTTTTTTGTTTGGTAGAATATGTTGAAAGATGGAAGCAGCATAAGTACTGTCTACCCAATAAGTAAAATGTAAAAGAAAAAATTACATTAACATATAGTGAAAAAGTTTACTCTAATTACTGTGTATCTAACAATAGAGGATATAATTCACACACATATGCTCTTATCAAGATCTTCATGGTTGACCATTTCAAGTTACATCAACTGCAACTTCCGGGTTCGATTCCCGGGCCGGTGGAAGTTGTTTGGACATACTTCCTAGCCCCCATTAGTCCCTGTTCACCTAGCAGTAATGTAGGTACTTGTTGTAAATCGAAAGTTGCGAATTCGTATTCAAGGAAAGTTTTTGGAACTTCCAATAACTTGATGACATAAACCATTGACTCTTCAGGCTTCTACGTCCTTGACTCTTCAGGCTTCTACGCCCTTAACTCATGAGACATAAAGGCAAGCATGAACTTAGCATGCTTCCCTGTTGGGCGCTGTAAATGCTTCTGCGCTTCACCTTACACAAGGATGTAGGGAGGTGCCCAATAATAATAATAATAATAATAATAATAATAATAATAATAATAATAATAATAATAAAAATAATAATAATAATAATAATAATAATAATAATAATAATAATAATAATAATAATAATAATAATAATAAAAAACTGCAACTTCTTACTACAAAATAATGCTTAATGCCAAATTACAGAAAATACCATTTCAATAACCTGTTGAACACTGCATTATAAAAATTATACTGTAGGTAAAAATATAATTTCCTACACTGTACTGTACTGTATAATAGATCTCTTGTATTCAGAGTATGACAATGATGCATTCAAAATTTGGCAATACAGTACATACATAATTTTTGTTAATAAGATCAGCTGTAGATTCTCTACACACTCTTTGAGAAAAAAAAAATCCCACAAAACTTCTTGAAGAATTTTGCTTATACTGTACTGTATATACTGTACAGTACGTATATGATTGTCAAATTTCAGTTGCTGCCTGGTCTCAATAAGATATAAAAATGCACACAAAGAATGCATACAACATTCATACAGACAATACAATACTGTAGTACAATAACAGCAATAGTGGTACAGAGATCACCTTAAGATTAAAGGAAATACAGTAACTTGTCAAGAACAACAGTATTGAGAATGGCATACAACTATCTTTGAAGGACACCATACAGTCCAAGACTGTGTAAGAACTACCAAATATTTTAAATTAAAAATGCACAAAGAAACAATCTGTGCTTCCTAGAGTGATTAATAATCAAACTGGGAGCTTTTGGTCGTGCTTAATCTTAAAATTGTTCGATATTGGCAGATGATGGATAACACATTTTGTCTATATGGAGGATGCAAATCTGATTATAGTTTGGATCACTAACATAAACGTGGATCTGAAGTCTCCCTTCTTAGATGAGAAATGGGAACACAGCCTTGCGGGATTTTGGATAATCCTCAAATTTTTTAAGGTACCACCTGAAAAAGTATAAGTTATTGGTAATGACTTTATTCTTTTTTTCTTCTTTAAATTTATAAATGTGCTTCTACAGTCAGCTTCATTCACTAAGTGTTAGTCTCTACACAACACAATACTGTATATTTTTTTTAATCTGATAAACTACAGTACTATATTAAGTACGGTATACTGTATAATTATTTACTTTTCCTTCCCTTTCATTTTACATTAATTTGGTAAAAAGGTGGGAAAAAAAATGTTAGCATGAGTATAGAAGAATGTGTATACTATGAGACAGTTCTAGAAACAAGTAATGAGAAAAAAGTACACTGAAAGAAATGTCACCTTCAATGGAGATAGTGATGTGTGTCATATCTGGGCATGCATGTGTGGCTACAAGAGCAATGAGTTATGACATAGATCACAGAGTTGCAGAAAAAGAAAGTACGCACTGCAATAAGAACATTATGATATAGTATATGGAGAGAGAGAGAGAGAGAGTGAGACCTATGTCAAAGTAAGCAAAGTTTAGGATATATAAAGGAATTGTCGAGTCAACATTATTACTTAGGAGGGAAACAAACTTTGAAAGAAGGAGGAAGAAGCAAATTAAAAGTGAAAGATGTGTTATGTTCCTGAGAGCAATATATGGAGTCAATAGTGTGCAAAGAAAAAGATTACGCAGAAATTAGGCAGAGGCGTGCGTGTAAAAGATGTGCAGAACAAACAGATGGATACATAATAAGGGTTTGCAAAAGCAATATGGACATAATGCAAGACTGGGAAGAGGGCGATTGGGAAAGGGAATATATACTGTAATTCAGACGTGTAGAGTAGAAGGAACGTAAGAAGATGAAAGGATAAGGTGAAAGACGTACTACCTGTAGATGTGAGGGAGACAAACAGCAGGAAACGCAGGAATCCTGAATGATAAGAGAGTATTGTGCTGAGTGTTTCATGGGGAGGTCACAGCAGTCACAGTGAAGGGATGAAGACAAGTGAAGGGTGGGTATATTTATATTTGTTTTTATTCTCATCACCATGTAGTATAGAGGGAGGTGGCAAGGTTTAATGGTCATACAATACTACTTGCCAGTGTTTGGATGCCTATTCTATTTATTTGCATGCTTAATCCCATATGAAACCAAGTGTACATTTCTCAATCTGTCTATCTATATAATAACGGGTGATTTTTGCCATTTGAAGAATTTAAGGGAAATGTTCAGAACTAACCATACATAAAATCTAGACCCATTTCTACAAGCTACTCTATTAGTTACTGTATTACTTATTACTGTATAACATTCTTTTTTTGGAGTCATGAGTAATAATCAATGAACCAAGACAAACATAGGTAAGAACTTACTGATGATGGTCAAGTGCTCTCCTTGACAAGAAGAGAGTTGTGAAGAAGGCGTGAGCAGCAGCAGGCGGGGAAAGACTGGCTAAAGCGTATCCCCACATCTCCACAATTTCCCCAAAATAATTGGGACATGATACTTTCTCAAACAGTCCTCCTGAAAATTGAAAAGTAAAATGTTTATATAGTATACTGTACTGTAAACTGATGTATACAAGACATTCTTAAGATAAAACACACTCATCTTCTAAAATATGATGAATAGCATTAGTAACAGGCCAATCAGCAGTGAAGAGGATAAAGCAAAGGAAATTTGATCATCTAAAACCAAAGCAGCACATGCATAATAATTGTGTGCTGGTGTAAAGGGCCATGTAAAAAAGTGTACGGATGCATAAAAATGATAAAAGTTGTGGTAATGAGTGATTTATTGAGAGGCTTGAGCAAGTTCTAAAAGTCTGTCATGTGTAACACAGAGTTTACAGAAATGGAACTCACATAATTCATGGGGTTTTTGTATAATATTATAAAAGATCAATATGTTGTATACAAACCAGATGGGATTTTGTAGCCAACTTCACCCCAACCTCTTAAATTTCTTAATGCTGCATCTGCCCCCATGTTGATTTTCATGCCATAGAGGAATAACATGAATCCTGAAACATAAGATACAGAATTAACTTTTGCAGTCTACTTATTAATACCAGAATCATTACAATATGGAATACATTAAGAATTACCCTAAGAGCATAGAACATAGTAATTTAAGTGCTAAGTTATAGTAGATTCTCTTCAAAGAGAAATACTCCAAAATTAAATTCTAAGCTAAGTGTGCTTTTAGGAGACAATAAAACATTATTTTAAGATAGTTTTAATTAAGGGGAAAATATTCCAAATTACATAACCTAATTAAGCATCACTTGTGTATTAAATGCTACTGTAACTAATACTTCCTAGTTCAATGATGTGATTAATTCTATTTTTCACTTATCAGATGTCAAAGAAACCTTCCCGTTAGCTGGAATCTTGATCTCTGGAACTCTCCATTACTGGGAAATATTTTTTTTGATCATTCCAAGAAATTTTACGATAGATCTCTCCGTTCTGGACATTAAAAAAAATTTCCGTGTGCATGAATGGTGCGGGTGGGTAAGCTCAGAGTGCTCCTGAGCTACAATTGGCTACTACAGGTACTGTCATGTGACTGCATGGAATGCCTATGATTGGCTGATGTATCTCGTAACTCTTTGCTTGTTCGCTTACTCTACTGGTTTCACATGCAATCAATGTTGTGCAGTATTGTATATTACTGTACCAGGATATAATCAGCCAAGAATGCCGTTAAAGCAGTGTTAAGATGGAAAAAGTGATTACAGTTATGTATATGTACTTTACATTCACTAAGTGTGAAATTACCATATGTACAGTACTGTACATAGCAGAGTGGACAGTATAGGCTAGTGAGTAGAGGGCGTATGTATGTACGTACAGTATACAGTGCATGTACAATCCCTCCTTCATTAAGGGAAAAGAGAGTGACAGTTAGCAACACCTGCTACAAGAAAAACAGGCCATCCTGTATCATCATATCACCATTTAGTTTGCATGCATCACAAGCTCAAGACGACAGCATCTGCTGGTGAGTACAGTATGTACTGTAGTGTATACAGTTGTATATTTTGTTTATTTACAATACTGTATATTGTATGTCTACTGTAGTGTTTGCATAAATAAATACAGCACTAAGTCTGTCCGACTGTAGTCCGATGTGGAAACATTCACCGGTGCCCAGAAAAATTCAGGGGACGTGCGATTTTCTCCAGGCATGAGAAAATTTGTCTCAATACAGTACCGGAAATCTCTCAAACCCAGAACCACTCTGCATCAATTATTCTGGATAATGGGGAGATTAATATACAGTACAGTGCACATATCCAATAAAATACAATACAGAGCATGGTTATGAACAACACTTACAAGTAAACACTTGTAAGAGAACTCTCAGGATAATACAAACTGTCAAAAGACTTATTTCCATTAAAGTTCTCAAATCTTGAACATACCAAACAATTAAAATGTGATCATATAAATCATATTAACATGTACAATATTACACAAGTTACACTTCATGCAAATACAATTGTCTAAGTTACTGACATCCTGTAACTTACTATTACACCTTAGCTGTTTCCCATGCATAAAAAAAATTAAATACTTCTTACCCACATAAAAACTTGGTCTATACACCCATTCTTCATCACTGTAGTGGTAATAGTTGACAAAATAGAGGCCATGAAGAATTCCATTATAGAGGCAGGTTAGGAAAGCAAACAAGAATGGCAGAAAAGGTGTTGGCTTGTTGCTCTTCATCAAGAATGGGTAGATGAAGGATCTGTATGACAACACAGATATGAGTGATAAACAATACTGACACACATACAGTGGCATATCCAGTCCCTTTAGCCCCCCCATTAACCACTCCTGGTTAATAGTTAAAGTCTATATACAGTATTTTCCTTATTCCTATTTTTCCATTGGGTTAAAAAATCACTCCAATCCCACTAACCCCCACAAACAAAAATCCTAGATCTGCCACTGAACACAAGTACAGTATAGTATACAAAATATTAAAAAGAAAAAGAGTGCTACTGTAGTTAAATCTATTAAGGATCCACCCACTAAGTATTGTTAATACTATGTAAAACATGGGGTGTGGGTCTTTAACCATAATTTCTGTAGAGTAAAGTATCGGTCAACCAAAAAATCTACTTTATAAATGAATCTATATACTGTAATGTATTTTACAAAAGATGTGAGCACCCTAAATATGAAATTTAAGAGTACTGTACAGGATATAGAATAAATTCATTTTACTAATTTTCCACATGTACTGTACTGTATTTCATGGGAGTGAATGAGAGGAATTTGGAGTACTGTGTCAAGCAACTGGCTCAGTGACTGTGCATGTTGGTGTGAGTGATGCATCTGCTAGTCTTCATGTGAATTTGAGAAGTAAGTTGCAGTATATTGTACGGTGATTATAGGCAAATGATGACAGATTGAAAACTTATCTTTGGACATTAACAGTAAGAGTGTTAGAGAATCAAGGAAGGAAGTCAGTGTACAGGTGACTTTGAATAGAGTTTGAAATTATTGTTTCCAGTAATTTGCCTACAGTTGATGTTAGACTGATTGGACAGTAGTTAGAGGATAGTGATCTATTTCCCGTCTTGAAAATCGATATTACATTCGCTATCCTCCAGGATTCTGGTACTGCACCCGTTTTTAAGGACATGTTAAACAACTTTGCTAAGGGCATACTAAGCTCTTCCTTAAATTCCTTTAATACTCAGGCAAATATCTCATTGGGACCTGGTGACTTATGAGGCTTTAGTTTGTCTATTTGCTTACTAACATCGTTACTAGCCACTACTATCTCGCTTGATCAATTTTCTTCACTATCTCTTTCAGTATCTATCAGTATCTTATAACCCAATACATAATAAAAATCCTAATCTTATCTGGCCTTGCCCCACTGTAGCTTTTACTCCACTGAATAATTTACAATTTCATCTTATTTCTAGGAGAAAAATTTTTGCAATTGTTGAGTCTTACATAACTGTAATGAGAGGAAAAAATAATATGTGTCATTTACCCATAATAAATCAAGTATGTATCCTATAAGCCACAGTGGCAAGCAAGGTGTGAACTGGAATGAAGTACAGGAGGTATCAATAGTTTGCTATTTGGGTTAAATAACTTATCAGTAATGTTCTACACTGATGGAATGCTAATGTATAGTTGGAACATCCATGCTGACCATACTTATTGTTTATGTCTAGAAAGTCTCAGTTGCCAAGTCATGGAATATTCAATGTTACCTAAAATATAAACCAATTTAACCTACCAGACCTAACCTAACATAACATAACCTAACATAACATAACTTAACCTAAAGTAAAATAAAAGTTATCATCTATTAATTATCTGTAAACAAAAATTCCTGTCTATGAAAGGAACTGTATTCACACAAGTTGAACATAACAGTTACTGCTACATAAAATTTACTGTTTATAAAATAAATAAATCTAATCTAATATAACAGTTACATTCTATTACAGCATCACCTTAGAAAAAAACAGTCTATGAAAGGAACCATCCCAACAACACAACAGCCGAGAAGGAGAAATGTTCACATTAAAGGTCAGTCTAAGGTTTGTGTTCAGGAATAAAAATCATAAAACTGGTATTAGGAGACATGTATTCCTCAAAAATTTAGTGGCATTTTCATGAACTAAGAGAACAATATCTTCTATTCTAAAATGTCTTAAAGTTGGTAGTTTGGGAGTGCAGGAGGCATTAAGAAATGAAAAAAAAACTATATTTAAGGTTGTAAAGGCAAGGTTCATAATTAATAACAACAATGGATCAAAATATTGATCTTGATACTTACTTATTTTTTCCATCATACACCATTGAATTTCATCACTAATCTTATATCATTACAACAAACATGCTGTACAGTAGTAGTAAATATAAAGCACTTTAAAAAAATAACATGAAATAAAATGCGACCCTCTCCTTAATGACAATATTTTTCAATATAACTGACTTAAAACTTACCTGTGAAAGTAGTGCATAATGAACATTCCTAGACACAGTTGATTGACCATTCCCCTGTAGGCTGTCTGTTTGCCGTAAGCCACCATTATGACGGGCACAAAGAAGGACGGGCACTCCTGTATGAACCAGGCCAGCTTGACGGGCACACCAAACCCGTAGGAGTAATTATAGTACCTTCCATAAGGAGCATTTCGGATGAGCAGTGTCAGGACAGCATATATAACAGTCCCATAACACATACGATTTATCAACATCTCATCATTTGTGGCCCAGAAGATCGGGTATACATAACGTTGTATTATGGCTTCTGGGGTGAACGTCATGGCTGCTCCTGGGGCTTGTGTCGTACTGAGCTAGGCTGCTTCTGAGTCCTGACCTCCTTTAAGACTCCCTCTACTGATCGCCGATTGAAAAAATTAACCTTTAGTTTACATAATAAATGTCGTTGCCATGACAACAACAGATGCCATTTATTGTTAAATTTTATACTAAGAAGGACAACTAGCCACTTGCAGACGTGATTTATCTTGAGGTCAGGATAAACTACACAATTCATCAACAGATGGCGCATTAGAACTATGACGGACTAACCTATACAGCTGTGATAACCTATTCTCGCTTTTTCTGTGTATGTGGTCAGTTTCCCAGATGGCTGTTTGAATTTCTGTACGTGGAGTAAAGTGCCCTTTGCTCTCCTTAAACCAGCTTTGAAACATGAATATTTAAAGCAGATAGCACTGTTACTAAGCAGAGGTTTTTATTTAAAAAAATATTGCAGAAAAATGGTCATGCATTGTCCCGTATATCACATTTTTATTCGAAACGGACCGCATATACTGTATACTGTACTGTATATTTGTACATTTGGAAGTTGTTTTGAGGTTGGTGCTCTTATCGTTGTATTCTTATGCAAAGAAAGGTTATTTGACTTTTCCAAGTTTCTTTAACACACCTGCAAAATTTTCCAAAAAATGCCTACATGTCGGGAAAAATAAAAGAAAAATACATTTACTGAAAGCGTATCTCGAAATTCCAAGAACAGAAATATTTGAATAGGGTGTCCACAGTGTTTCTGAGAACAGGATACTCTGTATTTATTTACTGGTGTACGTACATAATTTTTCTGAGAACCAGAAAAATCTGAAATGGGCATCAACAACACTTTTAAGAAAGGGCATGTATAATAACATGTCCAGTGCATTTCTGAGAACAGGAATATTTCATTGTGGACGTCCACCAGGTTTTGACATTGTGTTTGGTGGTGCGATTATACTTTTTACTCCTGCAACACTGTGGGACCCATGAGGGGTTGTACCGTCTACCGTATAACACAAAATCGACAAGATCATGAACAAAAAAGAAAATTTATGACCAGCAGAACTTTTGCACTCCAACTTGAACAAATGCTGAACATGTTGACATTGATATCAAATTCGAAACAGTTTATTCAGCTACGAAAAATGATACAAAGTTAGTAACAACAACAATATTGGCATAGCTGAGCCAGTGCTGAAGCTCTCTAGAAGGCACCTGATAAATAATGTACATTTATCTCAAGAAAATCATAAAATAGCAGAATATTATCTGAATTACAAACAGCTCGGAAACAGGTGACGAAGAAGTTAACCATTATATAATAATTTCCCACATATAATCGCTTAATGATCGTTTTCTATGGATACAAACACCTCAACATGGATAAGAAAATGTAAGCACACGTATCGACAGTAAGTAGACCATCTTATTATACAACATCACTTGAGTAATATTTTGTAACGTTGCATACTAGTAATTAAATTTAGTATTTGTCGACGAGTCTTAACACACTAATATATCCCATTTATGTTATATATTTGAGAACTAAGTACCAGTGCTCCGTCTTGTTTCATTTGAATATCCATAACTTTAGCCTATCTGGCTACTTTAACGCTTAAGATTACGCTACGAGCTTACTGAATCATATCCAATTAGATGCATTCCATTTGATTGATCCAAGATATAGGAACACATCGGATTAGAAATATCCCAATTCTAGAAAAAAATAATAATTTACCAATATCCGGAAGAATGACTTGGGTCCACCACAATAGAATATTAACTGTTGCAGAGTTCATAGAAGAGATGGATCTAGCTTACAAAAATGAAGTATAATTTATTTAATACATTACTCTCAGGGTATAGTTAATTTTGGACCCGAACTGAAGGTGAGTGAACGTATCTAGGTAAGCTATAAGTTCAAGTATAATTATAGCATTATTTTAAATGTTATATTTTTTACGATTTAGCTTAAGTCAACCAGTTAGGTGCATTCTTTCATCTCCAGGTACGAAGAAAATTTGACGTACGAATTCCTCAGAAGCCGACCCCCGAATTCTTTGTAATGGACAAGTTATTAGAACACTGATAAATAAATCTTCCATTTCTGAGGTTTACGTTTCCATGAATTATTTTTTTATACACGAGAACACCGCATAGGATGAACACATCAAGCAAAAAGAGTTAAAATACCAACTATCTGGAACATGAGATAACATTTCGAGAATATGGCTTATGCATATCGTATCTATATGGCTCCAGTTTTATGGATGTAGAGTTAAAGAATCGTAGCATATTCAAGTGGTTAAAACACAGGTATTAATGAAACTACGCAATATAGTGTACTGTAGCCAATATACCTCGAGTTTCATTTCAATTAATCTGTTATTAGTTTCATGTAGAGCAAAATTGATTGAAGAATTAATTGAAAATACCGAATGTTTACAACAGCCAATTAACTCGTGGTGATTTTGTCGTTGTAATTTCTACCGTCAATTTACGAAAGTTGGTGGAAAAAACAAAAGTATGTGTATCTAATGATGATGCTAAAAAAACCGAGAAATGATCTTGACAATATAACTAAACTAAGTATTTGTGTGTTTGTAAGAATGAGTTGTGTGTTGGTTTATGTATAGTATTTGGAAGGAAATTTTGCTTATAAGAGTGAGCTGTGTGTGTTTGTTCAAGACTTATTTGCTCATATCTTTGAGCTGTTTATGTATTTGTAAGAGTGAGATGTCTGTGTGTTTGTAGAGTTGTGCGTGTTTATGTAAGAGTATGTAGTTTGTGTGATTATGGATTTGTGCACTTCAAACTGTAATAATAAAAGTAGTATTTTGAATAATTTCGTAAAATTTCACATAATAATTAAATAAGGAAGTTAAAGTAAATTATATTAAGAAACAATTTTGAAAATATTATGTATTCCAGAAGCGGTTGAACTGGGTATATCATTACCTCGAAAACAATTATATCGAGTCAAAATGTAATTCAAAAGATACATAGTGATAGATGTGCCAAAATGTACTAATAGGTATACGATTCTCTCCCTATTAAACTATGTATAATTGTATACTGTATAATACATCACTAACAAATGCATTAGGGTGTATCAAACAAATATATGTTCATTGGAATTATAATCTGCAAAATTCACACAGTAAGTATTCATATTTACCCCAAAATTGTCTCACTAATTAATGAGAAATAAAGATATCAGAAATAACAAACTTGGAGAGCTCGTGTGACTAGTGGACATTGCGCGGGAAGCGGGAACGTGGCGAGCATCGTCTGCTGGCGGGGATCAGATGGTTACTCACAAGCGCGCATGTCCGATAATCCTGCTCACACGAATTCATCGATTTATCCACACATTCACACTAACTTTTCCAAATAAAAGTCGAATAAATACGCATATTAACGATATTACAGCAAATTCTCCACTGACGCTACGATCAATCTTGAATTAGGGGAGAGATGTGGAGGGCCGTAGGGCGCATGTCCTGGGCCAGAGAGAGAGAGTGAGATAGAGAGTGTGAGAGAGAGTGAACGGGAGTGTCAGAGCGCGCGGCCATAGGCGATATTGTTTACCAGTACAAGTCTAACCCAGCACCGACTTGGAGGCGTCTTAATAGTGGCGTGGGCTGCCTTCAACCATCGCCACCATCACCACCGCCACCACCGCCCACCACCACCGCCACCATACTCTACAAAATAATGAGTGTGAACTTGGGAAACGATACAAAAGCATCTTCCCCAGTCAGAACCCCGGATGAGGGCAAGGAAAGTAAATACGAACCAAAACAAAACAAGAAGATCATTCGCCTCCTGACAGTGATAGCTTACATCATCTCAGTGTCCATGGCGGCGATAATCTTGTCCTTGTACTACGTGTTTCTGTGGGACCCCCAGATAAAATACCCGCCCAAAATCAAGAGTGGGGGGATGGGTAATAGAAATAATCAGAACGTCGAAGATAATTCCCCCTCGCTTAACTCTCTTCCCTTCTCACTCGGTAAGTACCCACCGTCAGTATCGCTTACACCTAAGTACAGTGAGATCAACGTAACCAACATACTGGCTCAGTCCCCAGCCTGAACGTACGAGTGAACGGGTCGTGTTTACACCCCAGACCCATAAAAAAACAAGGTAATTTTTCCTGACCTCTGAGCTGTGTTAACACCTAACATGATACGTCCACGCTACTACCCTTCAGTAAAGTGTAAATATATTTGTTTCTACACCCAAAATAGGTATTGGTATAATAGAAACTGTGTGTAGCTTAGAAACTAAAGGCAACATCTACTTAAATATGTTCTCCCGACTTCCTGGTGACAAGAACATGCCACACATCTGCCACCATTAAACTCGCGAGCTAACTATAATATACGCCTATCACTGCATCAAGGGCTGACTGTGCGCGTAAACGTAACTGTTTATATTAGTGCATAACAGTTAATGATCATCTGAGAGAGGGATTAGATGTTTGTGAGTAAACTAGACACTCAAGTAGGCTATGACTCATGTAGTTGGCGTGTGGACAGAACTTGTATAAAGAGTAGTGGTGAAAAGTGTCTGAGTACTGTATGTATGAAAATTATATATTCAATATTATTGTAGTTTGCTTTATGGTTTGGTGGTGTTCTCACATTTTCTTTAATTCTATGATAATAATAATAATAATAATAATAATAATAATAATAATAATAATAATAATAATAATAATAATAATAATAATAATAATATAACTACTATCATTACTGCTAATAATGATAATGATGATAATTATTATATCATTAATCATTATTAGCATTATTATTGTTATTATTATTATCAATATTATATTAGTTTTATTTTCATTATTATAATTATATTGATTAATATTATTATTAATACTAAATTTAATAATATTCACATTATTATTAGTATTACTATTACTGTTCATACTATTATTATTAGTGTTATTAGTGTTATATGGTAAAGGTTTACATTAGGGTCACCACGTTAACATTATTATAATTTGTTTCCTTCGGGATATTCAGAAACTCATACTCTAATGACTAACCAGTAACTCCAGTAGTAAAAGAAATACTCAAGCGTGAAACTTAAAGGACTGCAAGTAGCCAACACGATTCTACGAACTAACAAAAACAATCACTGAACTTTGTCTGATATTAGCAGGAGCGGACATGAGCGACTGTGGTTTCTTTCTGGTCAAATCAGATACTGTTCTTTTAGGGTTTGTTTTTAATTCACCGATTGAGGCGGTAGTTGTTGTGTTTACGGTTTATTGAAGGTTATATATTTATGTTTTTTTCTGCTAACGTGTATGTAATGAGACAAACGTTTTAGTGTAAATGCCAAAGAAGGCATATTATTATTACTACTTTTATTACTCTATTATTATTATTATTATTATTATTATTATTATTATTATTATTATTATTATTATTATTATTATTATTATTATTATTGCTCTGTAGTACCAAAGTGTGAAATATATGTATACCTGTAAACACCTTTTACGACTAGACTAAACGAACAGTAAGTATTTCTGGGAAGTTTAACTAATGATCAGTGATACTAGAGTCAACGAGAGGATGGCGAACAAATGAACAAAATCTAAATTAAAATATCGCTATCATCATCTTTATTATCAATATTATCACCATCATCATCAGGTCGTCATCTCAACCAATCACCATACCCCTTTCATTTCTATAGTCCAATCAGGGGACGAGTTTTAAGACCCAATTATATTTATCACCTTAATCATGTTCTCCCTCTCTCTCTCTCTCTCTTTCCTTCCATTACTGTTTCTCTTTCTGTTCCTTTCTATCTCACACTGACCTCCCTCTCTCTATATATATTTACTTTTATCCCCTCATTCATCTCTTTCTCTCTTCCTCCCTCTAATTCACCATCTCTCGCTATTCATTACTCTCTTTCCCCCCTTTACCTCGTTTTCTCTATTATATTTTAAAAGAAAGAAAAAACAACAACACATGAATATCCCGGTTTAACAGGGGCAGTGCTTAGGGGACAGCTGGTATGAGGGGGGAGGTGTTCAAGGGACAGCTGGTATGAGGGGAGGTGTTCAAGGGACAGCTGGTATGAGGGGAGGTGTTCAAAGGAAAGCTGGTATCGAGGCGTTAAAATATTACCTTATAATTATTAAAGAAAAAAAATCCCATATCTGGTGTCTCATTGTATTTGAAATCTGTGTTGGATGTATTTTTAAATTATCATAAATTCTATTACTTTATCATTATTATTAATATTATTATTATTATTACTGCTGCAGGTAACGAAGCACAAGCCAGAGTCAGTCATCCGAACATCACTCAAGCTTTTGTTTACGTAACAAATAATCATTAGTCTTGACATCTTCCACTGGTCAACCAATCATGGCAGAGAAACACTTAGAATAATTAGCTCTTCAGACAAACTTTATTTTATATTTTTTGAAAAGCTAGTTGCTAGTAGGGAAGGTGTCACGTATGGCTATTCAATCCACAATGAGCTCTTAGTGACTAGAAGCGTGACGAAGTTTTGGTCATAGAAGGCAGATGAAGCTTTATTAACTTATATTTGTGATGACTAACGTATTTTCGGATCAATTGAAGATTAGAGTAGGTTTATTTCACCTAATGATCAAACACTACCTGGGGGTGGTTAGGTTAGGTTTGGTTAGGTTAGGTTAGGTTTGGTTTGGTTAGGTTTGGTTAGGTTAGGTTAGGTTAGGTTAGAGTGGTTCATTTCACCTATCGTTCTATTGATAAGACTCCGACAATACAAGGAACAACAATACAATACTTGGCTACTCTAGTTAAGACAATTTACCATTTAAATTATCTTAGTATTTGATATTACACTTACGACAATATTCTATTATCAGTCGAGTATTTTACGTGTTTGATATTCTAGTTAAAAAAAATTAAATTGTCTTAGTTTGATATCATTAATAAGACTATCCTATTATCAATCGTCTCAGGTTATTAGAGGTAAGATAATTATCACCACAGGTAGTTTTTAATCGGATAGTAATTATAATCATGAACGGGAAAGGTAACTGTGTGTGTGTGTGTGTGTGTGTGTGTGTGTGTGTGTGTGTGTGTGTGTGTGTGTCACTGGGTTGCAGGGTCTCCCCACCACCACGAGTCTCATCTATACGGAAGGAGACGCCGGAGAAGGGAGGAAGGCAGGAAGGGTTTTGCGGTGGTGGTGGTGAATGTAGGTTGTTTAGGTAATGGTGATGGTGGTAGTAGTGGTGAAGGTGGTAGTGATGGTGGTAGTAGTGGTGAAGGTGGTAGTGATGGTGGTAGTAGTGGTGAAGGTAGTGATGTGGTAGTGGGTGAAGGTGGTAGTGATGGTGGTAGTAGTGGTGAAGGTGGTAGTGATGGTGGTAGTTATATGATTATTGATGGTGGTAACTATTGATGATGATGATAGTTTGTGGTAGTTTAAGTGGTGGGTGGTGGTAGTGACAACAGATGGTGGTGGTGTGGTAGTGAGGAAGGTGGTAGTGGTAATGAGCAAGGTAGAGGAGGAGGGGGGGGGGGACACAGCAGGAGGTAAAACAAGCCTGTTAGCAAGCGGCATTTCCTCCCTCACCTCCTCATCTCCCCTCACCTAGAATCCCCCGAAGGTAAACAGTTGTAAACAAAACGTGTGAGACTGCTTATAAACAAAGGGAGAGAGAGAGAGAGAGAGAGAGAGAGAGAGAGAGAGAGAGAGAGAGAGAGAGACGCCTGGCAGCTACACCAAACCTTTGTCTCACTTTTAGGTACGTCGGCACACACCAAAGATCCTCAAACGAGAATTGAAATTGTTTTTTTCCTGACACATCTCTACACATTCCTTGCACACTCTCTACACTTACCTTCCTCCTTTCTTCCGCATTATATTCCTCTTCTTTATATTAATGGATATTTCTAATTTTTTTCTATTTCCTCGTGGTATTTCTAAACTTGTCTTGTATTATCCTCTGAGGTTTATGTACTCCTTGATCCGCCTCCCCCCCACACACACCAGAGAGAGAGAGAGAGAGAGAGAGAGAGAGAGAGAGAGAGAGAGAGAGAGAGAGGGTGCAGATGACAGATAACACACGAGGAAGTAGGAGGGACTCAAGCATCTTGGATGGAGGTGTGGAGTGTAAAATAATATATATGGGTTAGGTTAGGTTTGATTAGGTTAGGTTAGGTCTGTTCAGTTTGGAAAGAATTTGGATAAATGGTGAGTGTGGAGGGAAAAAAGTATATTTCGTTAATTTACTGACTTTAAGGAGATCTGGGAGAATATCTGGGTAATTCCTTTATCATCCCACCTTACCTGTTATGTTATATCAATGTATTCATACCGTAATAGAGAAACATCATTACAGGTGCAGCGAATCCTACTAGTGTTAAAATTTGGTGTGTCATATTTACATATCTTATTTAACCCATACCGACAGAAGAAGGCCAGTGATCTTCGTTGTTTTTGATAGTCTTGTCTAGGGGTCATTTTGAGGGTCAGTACCATTCCTGATTCCACAGTTTGTGTTGGTAGGCTGTTGTAATTAAGTTAGTATGAGTCACCTATCTACTAACGCTACCATAACCTGTTCAAGAAAAATAGTTATACATTAATATTCTATCAGTATCATATTTCAAAATATATAATGAAAAAAATATGCAATCCACTTATCTTTCCCTCAAGTTGCGAGTTTACGCAGGTTGAGAGAATTACTTCGCCGTGGATAAATTTTATGTAAACAAAACAAACTGCGCATGCGTTTGTCTTCCCTCACGACAGTTGAAGATCACTGATTGGTCAGGATCCCTATAAGGTTTTACTGCCAACCGAATACTGATTGGTTGATAAATGATGTTTTCAGTCTTCTTATTGGTTAACAAGTAGAGAAACTTTCGTATTTATATATACATTCTACTTCGTCATGCACAGGACAAACAATCTGGTTTGTAAAGGTGGAAATATTCGGTATTTTGCTGGACAATAAACACTTTGGTGTCT